AAACCCTAACCGACTCACCGAATATAATTAATTTAAGAAAAACCAATGACAAACCCTTTACCAGGGGATCGAATTCAAAAATTGTTCTGAATAACCCTTATCTTTACTCATCGTCTGTGTGGTGCCCGTCCTCATCCTTCATTTGAGGTGCTTCAATGATTTTCACCGTGGATTTGGTCCATCGTCGTCACTGTCATCACCAAAAGGAATGATAATTTCTCTCGTTTTGGTTTGTTCAACATCAAACTCATAACATGCAAGCAAATATGGTGAGTAAATGTTTGAGAACTTCACCTTGGCCCAAAATTAATTACTTCTGAAATTCTTGGTTTCGCGAGTAGTAAGGTCGCTCCTCAAGAGGTGAAATTAATTGTACCTACAAATTTAGTAGTCGTTTGATTAAATGTCGGTTAGTTAGTGTCAATGTTTGATCAATGAAAATAAGTTAATTAAGATGCCGCCTCACCATTGTATGGAACGATGCATAAGGAAGTAATGATCAGGATGAGAGGTCGGTTGCCCTCATTTTGAACGATTGAATTTAGTTGGGCGACTATCCTACCAAAGAGAATTACCTTGACGACCAATCCCCTATAGTCAAATTGTATATTAGAGTTGCAATTAGAGTTAAGAAAATTCATGATATTTAAAATTAAGAATAAAAAGAGTTACATACTTGGAAAGTTTTAGTTGGAACTCTCTGCGTGTAACCTTTAGGGTTAGTTTAGTAGATATCATTAAATCTGAATCCTTAATAAGTTGGCTGACGAAATATGTGTAACAAATAATTGATGAAAGTAAGTTTTTGGTTGTTCAAGCAACAAAATATTTTTTATTCGAGAATAGTGCTTAATACCTTAAAGAAATTTCCTTTGGTTGGACTTCCTCTCGATCTCATCTTCTTCGATGAAGTAAAATTTGTAAGCTGGTATCTCTGGAATATCGTCGTTTGCTTCGCCCTCGGTATTTGATTGGAACTTGATGACAAATTTGTTCGGGATTGAGCTGTAATCTCCCATTGTCATATTGACCCGAAACAGGGGTTGGAAGTTATTGATTTGCCATTTGGAAATTTGCATCAAAATATCATTACCATGGGTTAAAAAATAGGCGTATCAATAATTGTCAAGGCATTGAATCACATAGATAATTTTTGTTGTCTATTGTTTACCTTTTATTCGATATCATATCGAGACAAATTCAACATTGATGTGTGCCTGAGATCGCAGTAATAGGTATCTGTTATAAGGAACAACAAATCGATTATCTAGTGAGACCCCATTTATCGTACATTATATGTTGTTCTCTCTATGACGATACCTTGCAAAACCATTGCCATCAATAGTTGTTTGGCTGTAGAATTCCTTCGGAAAATGTTTAGAAGATACACAATTAGTTGTACATGGGGCTTTAGGTCGTTGAATGCCACATGAAACATAAAGTTTGCAACTACTTCATAACATTTAGGAAATGTTTGAGGATCTGGAATTTCAGTGGATATAATCGAATCTATTTCCGATGGACTATATAACTTATCTTCTCCAGCTAGGGAGACTAATAAATGAGCATGAGGTAAACCGCATTTTTGAAATTCAATTGCAATCACATCTGCAAATAAAAGAAATTATAATCAAAATAGGAAAATAATAGTCCACGAACAATTCATAAATTGAAGATGCTTAAAGTAAAACTATTGAAAAGAACTTACATGCACACGTTTTCTCGAAAATTTTCTTCTTCAATATCTCTTTCAACAATTGATGTAGCTTCAGCTTGAAAACTCATGCGACGACATCAACTCATGGTAGTAGTCCTTATCAAATCAAACATGTAATGGATCTCGGGCCAAGTAAATGTAGTGAAAAGATTTGGATATCCTGCCCATCTACAAATCGCCATAGCATCCTGGAAGCTTTCATACTTTTATCGAGTACTGCCTTATGTGATGAAGTCAAAATCACATTTTCCCCACTCATACTGTATCCGAATCACCTCTCAAGTAAGAATCCAAAAGACCTTGGTAGTAATGTTGTCGCAACTTTGTTTGGTTGTTTTTAATCCAATCCAAATGCTCAGCCTCAACCAATCCATATGCATTATACACGCTTTTGCCTTATATAAAGAGTACAATTTCTTCTTACTATTTTGGTCAATGATTGATCAATTATCTTCAACTCTGACTTAGGTGCGTCAATTTCTGAAAAATAAAATGGATAGTTCTGGTCTTGTAAGATCAAGCAGAGTGAAATAGTTAGAGAGATCACAATCAATTGATGATTCATAGATATTCATACCATAAGCATTTTATTTTTTTGCATTTCAGATAGAGATTCTGAGATTGATTAGAATCGACCATATCTTCTGATGGGATAAAAATATCTCTTTTTCCCTGAATACTGCATGGCATGGACACACATTAAATTGTAAGATGTATATAATTATGCTAATAAAAAGATTTGTACTTACATTCAAGTTTTAACCGATGAATTTATAGCTAATACATAGTCCGAGGAAGTCACCATACTTGTTTATACTTTAGAAGTACCAAACGGTGGAGAAGAAGAAAGCAACTATCGCGTTTGTATTCTTGTTGTTATGGGGTAGCAGGGATCACGCTATTTATAATAGTAATTATATTCCTACATCCTTATCGGGAGTATAGTTAGTAAAATATAGTACGGGAAAGTTACGTAGAAAAAATGTATGGGTATTTTACTACGTCTCTAAACTAATGTTACGTTTAATAGTACGTTAATAGTCATAAATAAACCATAAAAAAAATAGTCATAAATATATAAAATTAATTATTTTAAAACTAAATAAATATAAAAATAATAGTAAATTTAACAATTTAATTCATAAAATAAGGATATTAAACTTGTTATACGGGTTTTATATGTGTTTAATGCGGGAGTCATCAAGTAAACAAAAAAAAAACGCGTTGACAATAATACGAATATGAAAGTTTTAAACAAATAAAATACCTACGGATACATATACGTATAATAAAAGGAGTATTTACTAACTATATATGAAACCAGAGAAAGTTTGCAACTACTTCATAACATTCAGGATCTGTTTTAGAATCTGGAATTTCAGTAGATATAATCGAATCTGATTTTGATGGACTATATAAATTATCTTCTGCAGCTAGGAAGACTAATAAATGAGCATGAGGTAAACCACGTTTTTTAAACTCAATTGCCATCACATATGCAAATGAAAGAAATTATAATCAAAATAGGAAAATAATAGTCCACGAACAACTCATAAATTGAAGATGCTTAAAGTAAAACTATTGAATAGAACTTACATGCACACGTTTTCTCAAAAAAAAAATCTTGAATATTTCTTTCAACAATTGATGCAGCTTCAGCTTGAAAACTCATGAGAAGACATCAACTACTGGTAGTAGTCCTTATCAACTCATGCATGTACTGGATGTCGGGCCAAGCAGGATTATATGTAAATGTAGTGAAAAGCTCTGATATCCTGCCCATCTACAAATCGCCATAGCATCTTGAAAGCTTTCATACTTTTATCGAGTACTACCTGTATGTGATGAAGTCAAAATCACATGTTTCCCACCCATACTGGTATTCGAATCAGCTCTCAAGTAAGAATTCAAAAGACCTTGGTAATAATGTTGTCGCAACTTTGTTTGGTTGTTTTTAATCCATTCCAAACGCTCAGCCTCAACCAATGCATATGCATTATACACGCTTTTGCCTTATATAAAGAGCACATTTTCTTCTTACTATTTTGTTCAATGGTACGGTTGATCAATTATCTTCAACTCTGACTTAGGTGCGTCAATTTCTGAAAAATAAAATGGATAGTTGTGGTCTTGTAAGATCAAGCAGTGTGAAATTGTTAGAGAGATCACAATCAATTGATGATTCATAGATATTCATACAATAATTTTTTTTTTTTGCATTTCAGATAGAGATTTTTTAGAATCGACCCTACTTTCTGATGGGATAAAAATATCTCTTTTTTCCTGAATACCACATGGCATGGACACACATTAAATTGTAAGATGTATATAATTATGCTAATAAAAAGATTTGTACTTACATTCAAGTTTTAACCGACGAATTTATAGCTAATACATAGTCCGAGGAAGTCAGTGTACCTGTTTATACTTTAGAAGAACCGGATGCTGGAGAAGAAGAATGCAACTATCGTTTGTAGTATTGCTGTTATGGGGTAGAAGTAAGGGATCACCCTATTTATATTAATTATATTCCCACATCCTTACCGGAAGTATAGTTAGTAAAATACAGTACGCGAAAGTTACATAGAAAATACGTACGGGTATTTTACTACGTTGCTAAACTAATGTTACGTTTAATAGTCATAAATATATAAAACTAATTATTTTGAAACTAAATAAATATAAAATTAATAGTAAAATTAGCAATTTAATTCATAAAAAAAGGATATTAAACTTGTTATACGGATTTTATATGTGTTTAGTACGGGAGTCGTCAAGTAAACTAAAAAAAAAAGAAACGGCTTGACAATAATACGAATATGTAAATTTTATCTGAATAAAATACCTACGTATACATATACGTTTATTAAACGAAGTATTTATTAACTATATATGAAACCACATAAATTGCTTCTTGTTTTACCAAATGTATATTACAGCCCGTAAAAAAACATGAGCCCACATCTTGCTGGAATTTGTGTGTTCATTAATTAGACCCATATAATTATGAGCCTCCACAGTATACTCGCATATGGTGGCGCCCATGTGAGTTAAATGGTATTTACCCAAAATCTCCTTCCGTGAGATGAGCAGAAAGGTAGAAAAGGAGGATTAAAGGGGTTTTGGTGAGGAAACTCTATATAGTATTGTTATGATGACATAGAGAAGTCCCGCTGCAGTAAAATAATTATAAGAAACAAAATAAAGTAAGCAAATTAAATAGAAAAACAAAAGAGTTAAAAGCGAAGTAGACACCCATAAATAATCAAGAACATATTTACCTATGATCTTTGATGGTAACTTTCTGAACAGTAGTAATACCTCCTTTGACCTCTACATATTCAGGTTGACTAATCGAAACCAACCGTCCAACAACATCTACACCAAAATTGAATTAATTAATAAAGCTAGTACATACCAGACCCCATATGATTCAAAACCACATGAAACAGTAGATACCTGTGAGATAAGAACAACGATAAGATCGAGCAGGGAGGGAGTTAAATTGAGTGAACTGAAATGATTTGGTAGTGAAATCAATTGAACTTGCGGTTACATCCTCAAGTTTTGTTGCCGGAGTGATCACCAAATACCGATGGAAGTTGCATGCCCGAAAAGAAGCCTGCGGATCACACATTGCAAACTCTCGAATCACATACACAGAGCCAATGCTGAGACAGCCACTCAAGGCTTCTGCAAACGAACGATGTGAAATCCCCTCAATAAAAGTACCCTGCAGGCAGAAAATTGACATAAAATTCCTCTCATAATTAGGATAAAAGCCAAAAAATGATCACGACTATAAATGGAATCAGTTTCGGAATGAGACAACACATATTAGAATATACATTCTCCCAATCATTGATTGATTTAGTGAACTAATATAGTTTGTTCAGAACCCAAAAGAAGTAAAACTTATTCAAAGGACCCGCCGTATTTCCCCAAGAACCCAATAGTAACAATTGCTTATTGGACGAATCCACCGTATTTCCCCACGGCGATCTCTCCTTTCCTCTAGCCTTATGTGATCTCTACATGTAGAACATGGGACTCAACCTACGAATACACAAAGAGACAATATAACAAAACATAACAAACAATAAAAGTACAATTTTTGAAAAAAACAAAACGCTGTACTTTCCCTCCCTATTTTATCCTATTATACATATGGCAACTTTCCCCTCTTGTATATAATTTCAGAGCACGATCAACATGTACGCGTCAATGTTGCCCAAAATAACCACCACAATCGTAACAACATGTGATGATTCTTTCGACAATATTCAGACGACGACTTGTTGTCATTACTCCCCTCGTTGCCTCTCCAACAGCCCCTGTATGGAGAGAAAAGAAGAAGCAATAAAATGAAGGAGTTAGTTTAATAGTCATGATCTAAGACGGACATAATAAAGGGAACTGGGATCTAAAATAATACGCAGTATCATCATTACCACTGAAATCGAAAATAAAGCATGGGACAGGATGAAGAGGCGGCTGAGGTTCATTTTCATAGTTTCATATCGAGAAAATGGGAGAAAGGGTTCTTTTTAGGGATTGAGAGGAGGAGGAACGAACAGCAGCAGGAGATGAGTGCCACTCGGGTTTCGGAGCACGATCTCTCCTTACTGATTAACGAATTTATAGATTGACTCGTAATTACTTTTACTTTCCCTCCCTTCACATTTACTGAAAATTACACTCCCTACCACTGCCTCGGCCTTGGTACGTCAGCATTGGTTATGGGCAAAAGCGACTTTCCGAATTCGGCGATATCTGATTGGGTGACACGCACGCGACAAGGATCGAAGGTATTTCAGCATCGGATTAAGGGAAAAGTTTAGGAATTGACGGTGGGAAATGGGGATGTGCTTTTATAAATAGTATGACTTTGTAGATTAACTAACTTTTTCGTTTACCAACATTACTCTATTGATCTGGTTTATGTTATTCTAACTTGAATCATAACCTTAAACCCTAACCCCTAAACCCTAAACCAAACCCTAATACACGAACCAATCAATACCATATACTCTACAACAATAACAAAACCTTATAGGCTTATACCCTAACCAATCAATAACATATATACTCTAAACCATCAACACCTTGCTACCTACCTTATACCATAACCTTCAATACCTTATACTGTATACCATAAACACCTTCTTCTATCTCCATCCCCAACTTTTAGCAATTGCTAAAGATGAGTGGAGCTTAGGTGGCAAAAACTTAGCAATGACACAGAGAGAACTTTCTTTTCCCTTGTTTATTAACTTTTCAATTTATAATAAGTGTTTCCTTTGAAATATTAAATGGAACCCACCTTGGCAATTGCTAGCATAATTTAGGGATGTAGATGAATAGAAATTGATAAGTGATGAATTGCTAAAATTGATGATGTGGCGGTAGGGACCTCGTTTAGAAATTGGTGTTCAATTTTAGGGATGAAGAGGATCAATACACTAACCCAATACCATATACTCTAAACCATCAACACCTTATACAATATTGTATTTTAGGGATGGAGATGATCAATACACTAACCCAATACCATATACTCTAAACCATCAACACCTTATACAATATCGTATACCTATACGCCGATAAAATGTTTGCCCAACTAGATTACATAGGTACTTCAAAATTGAAATTATAACTTGCTTTTCAAAACATAAATTAAAAATTGATACTCGCTAAGTATCGAACCACAAACCTCTACTTTATTGACTTAGCAAATAAAGGACAATTAACCAATTAAACTACATCACATTGATGAAAATCTTGCATAATTTCGCTTTCTTATTAAGTGAAGGGTTAAAATGAAGGATAAATATATCACAGGGGATTGTTTCAACTTCGTCGGGGACTGAGAGAGTGGAAAAGGGGTAATTATTCTACCAAAAAAAAGAAAAGGGGGAATTAACGAAGAGTTAAATTGGACGGATTGTCTTTAGCACGCCACTACCACCCAAAATCCTTCGGAGCAAAGACATGTTGGTTCAAGTCAAAGAATAAATGAAGAAAGATGAAGTTAAGAACTCTAACTAATTTTGATTCCATATGTGGCGAATCGCTAATGGTCGGGATAACCAACATGGCAAAATCGTTAATGAGAACCTACTTTGCACACACCAAATCATTTTATCTCGTACCGATAAATGTGTAAAGAGACACGCTACAATAATTATGTCTAAATTTCCTGATAATAAGGCAAGATCAACATTTATAAGCAGATGTTAAGAAAATATAAAATCGAGAAAAATAAAACAACATCTACCCTCAGCCGAACCAATCAATACAATATGCTCTAGACCATCAACAATTCAACACCTTATAACCTACCCATATACCATATACTCTAAACCATCAACAACCTAATACCCTAACCAGTCAGTAATCATTACCTTAACCATAAACACCTTATACAATAATCGCATACCTATACGCTGATAAAATTTTACATTTTGAAAATACTTGCCCAAGTAAAGTACACAGGTACTTCAAAAGTGAAATTCTAACTTCCGTTTCAAAACATAAATTTAAAAAATGTCCTCACTAAGTATCAAACCACAACCCTCTAATTAGTCTACAAGAGGTTTGTTATGTCAAGAGGGGCAAACAGTGAGACAGTGGAATAGGGGCAATTAATAAAGAGTTAAATTGGGCGGATTGTTGTTTACCGCATACCGATAAATGTGTAAAGAGACACGCTACCATTTACCGAATCCCAAAAAAAAGATGGAACACATAATTATGTTTAAATTGCGTGAACGCAAGGCATGATCAGGATTTAGAAGCAGAAGCAGATGTAAATAAAAGCCCAACCTCTTCACAATCCGGATCATGTACACAAGCCCACTTTTGAAGGGAATTTAAAAGCCTGCAAAAAATGAATGATTAAACCCAGAAATAATACGAATCCCAGTCCAACTAGACTTCGTCCTAAACGCACCGTTAATACATAAACACAAGTTAAGGCGACCTCTCCATCCGATTAGAATCAAATTATGTCTTCTTCATCTTCTTCCTCAAATAGGTCGAAGACTGTATTGCTGATTTCATCTTCCATTTGTTCTAAGGAGTTCCAATAACGCTAACACATAATGACAAAGCACTGGCGACATGAACCCTAGGGTTAGCAAAATGAAAAGTTTGATGAACACAATAATAGACATGGTCGCCGTAATCGTGTTAGAAAGAGATAGGTGTGTAAATTCCGATCGGAAATAAAATGGCGAAGAACAAAACGTCGATTGTGGATACAAGGATTTGTGGTTCAAAACGATGATTATGTGGGGATTTTAGATTGAAAAGGGATCTTCTCTTCGAACGTGGATACATAGATTTGGGGTTCAAAACATGATGATGTTGGGGATTTGAGATTGGATAGGGAGCTAAATCGAATGTGGATCAAATGATAAAAGGATTGGGTTTCGAAACGATGATGTTGTTGGAGATTTCAGATTCGAAAGGCCTTATGTTCGAACTTTGAACTAAGAGGGGACGTCTCCTCCAAGACGAATGAGGGACTGGAAATTGGTTAGGGCGGCGGGTCGTATCCATAGGGTTTAACCTCTTAATCGATATAATTAAACCGGGTACAGTTAGGTTGAAGTCCAATGAAAAAAGGTTAAACGCTTCGTGATGCTTTTGGTAATTTTCCTTGGCCCCGGTTACCCGTACCCCGAATTTTTCCCCGGGCACCCTAACTCACTTTTTTGGGTGCATTCAATGCACTCGCCCATTAATCGTCATTCGGGGCAGACAATTCATGTGAAAACGATTTCAATCGTCACTTATGGTATGATGAACAAGAAACACATGGACTTGTACAAAAATCATTCAATATTTTACTTTAATTTGAATGATTTAGGGTTAGGGTTAGGGGCCTACAGCTTTATGAGTGGTCAGATCTCCAGTAAGAAACGATGCCTACAATTGTAGTCGACATACAAGGTTCCTTTTATTGTATGAACTACCAAACTTAGTGTCAAACACAAACAAGCATCGTCGTTGTGTTCAAAATATGTAAGGTATTCTCCTTACCGAAAACTCTGATGGCAAGAAACAAAGTTCAACATTCTCCGTCATCAATTGTTGATGACTTAGATAGTTGCAAACCATTGTAACCACCTAAGACACACAGTTCTAAGAGATTACATTAGTATTAGTTGTAATTTTCAAACATGTAAATGAAGCTTACATCATCTTTTAACGCCTTCCTCGTACTAATTGTATTAGTTGTATGTATTTATGTTAAACATTAACTATATCCATGTGTTGATATTTATGTTTTATTTGTTGTATAAAATGCGAATTGATGCATTAACCGAAAAAATTTCTCACTTAATGATAATGTGATTGTATATTGGTTAATCTGGTCAATTAACCAGGCTAACCAAACAATTTAAACTTTAATTTGGTTATTTTATTAGTTTGGACGGTTTGGTTATGATATTGTATTTCATTGTTTTATAGAATTTAGGTTTATTTGGTTTGCTAATTATCATGGTAACCATTTGAACACCCCCAGAAAGGTATATGCAAGAATGGGGAACTTTGTTTGGTACTTTTTCTGGAGATTCTTAATTGGTGATAAGAGATGCTGCATCCATACAATCCTCTTATTCGAGAGCAAAAACAGTCCTATAGGAAATTCACTCTCTCTTCTCCCCTTTATGTTAGTTTTGTATAAAATCCCTTCTAGGAGCCTCAACATAGTTGTCTTTCTCATGACAAAGCAGACTCTTTCATCGAGATTCTAGCTATATACTGGCAATCGTTCTTGATTATTATCAGACCTGTAATTTTGTAGTCACGTCATGCCCTGGGACTTATCTTGGATAAATGAAATACCATAAGATCTACTAAACCTCTTAAATATTAATGTAGGCT